TTTATTTTGGTGGCAATGACGCGCTGGCTCACGCTGAACTTGTACCCCCTGCAGCCCTTATGACCCTTCTGCCATCTTTTCTTCTGTGGTCTGTTTGTGCAAGTTTATCCCTCCCAGTGACCTTACAGCCCTGCCCATCACCTCTCAGCCCTTTCCCCAGTCTGGTGGGAGTGTGTCAGGTTCCTGCCCTGGTCTCCCTAGCGCTGGGTGTCATGTGCCGATTTTAAAACATTCTCTGTTCTGTCATTTAGCTCATTCATGGCAAAGCAGAGCAGGAGCAGCAGCAGCAGCAGGGCTGACCTCTCTGAAACCCCTTTTCAGTGTAACTGCAAGCCACTGGCAGCCATATATTACTGTGCACCAGCTCTGTGGTGGACCTGAAGTCCTGGGAACTGCTCTCACAGTGCTGTGGGACCAGGAAACACCTGCCTGTGGCATGGATGGGTAACCTGGGGGGGGGGTCAGAAAGACCCACAGGGCACAGTCCATAGCACGCAACCACCATCTTCTCAAGCACTAACCCAGGCAGGCCAGAAGCATCAGAAGCTGCAAGTCAAGATCCTGCTCTTGCAGACAGGCTGGTGGGAAGGTTTGGACCTTGCTCTCCCTGGGCAGGAGGAGGCAGAGGTTTCTCATGCTGCTTGCCAGGTGCATGCCTGTGGTGGGGTGCCCGGGCTGGCCCTTCGCTGCCTCTCACTGTGATACAACAGGGTCAGACGGTGAGCAGAGCTACAGAAGGCAGAGTGGCCAGAGGGTGCAGTGGGACCTCCTGTCTGCTTGCTGCTGGGAGGAGATCCTCCATCAGTGCCAGCTGGGAGGTCTGAGGTCCTGGTCTCTCCTGGCTTCGAACCACGCAGAGGACAGAGCCGCAGCACCAGCGTGATGAGCTTCGGGCTGGTCAGCCTGAGTGCTGAGGGGCAGGAGGCTGGAGCCTGGCAAAGGCTCCAAGGCAAGGGCAGGCTGCCTCCTTGCATCGCCTTGGCTGCCAGCCAGGGAAGGTGTGGATCCAGCTCGTCTGGCTGCTGTGGAGACGCCTGCCTGTGCATCTGCAAGGGAGGCTTCCAGAGGATCCCACCCGCCCAGGTTTCCATGGAGAGCGCTGAGGAGGGAGCTGTCTGGCAGACAGCGCAGCCCTGGAAACGCGGATAGAGCATTTGTTTTCCCAGGCAGATGAACAAGTGCCCTAGCAGCCTCGCTTCCTCTGCTCACCCACCGGCGCTCTGGGATACCTGCGGTGTCTTTCTCCTGCCGGCTCCTTGCTGTGCGCTTGTCTGAGCATCCCCAGTATCTGCGCAGCCCAGCCCCGTCTCCCTTCCAGTTGGCAGGCATGGCTCTCGCTGGCGCAGCGCTGCCGGGAGCCAGCAGCCATCTTTGCTGGGGGATGCGCTTGGCTTCGCAGCTGGAGGCAAGAATGGGAGCGCTGTAGGCGGGAAGTTTCGCTCCCACCTCCTGCGGGATGCGGGGGAGCCATCCCCGAACAAACTGTCCTGTCTCGGATTTCCCAGTCATTTTGCTTCGGAAGGCCAAGGGCAAGATTAGGAGCTGATGTGGCAGCAGGCAGCAGTGGAAGGCGCAATGCAACGGCCCCCGGTGAAGGGGGCTGAGCTCTGGTTTTCATGGCACTCTGGCAATATTAAGTTTAAATTCCCATCCTAAATGTTATATTAACATGAAGTTACAGCAGAAAGCACAGAGCACAGAACAGCAATATGAGGGTATAAGATGTGTTACAGGGGTATTGTAATGGTCCCAGATGAGGCATTTGAAACCCAGGGAATTCCAGATTCAGGGTTTGAGTCACGTTGGGGGTTTGTAATTGAAAAACCATCCAAACATAGGAAGGCTTAGAGCAGCATGTCACTGAGACTCTTCTGGGTGCCTGCGTCCTGTGCTTGGGGAGACGGGGGCAGATGGAAGGAAAAGGTCTTTTAAAATGGTAGAACCAGATGTGGAATTACAAGTGTCAGAACACCACGATCTCCATTTGGGTGTGAAGGCATCATGGCTCTCCAGGGGAATGTCAGGGCTACTGGGTCTGGACTGTGCAGTTCCATATCTGGACATACCTGGCTATCACTAATGTAACTCACCTCTGTGTCTGATGCTTCATAAAGCTCATAATTGGAGACAGTTGCAAGTCCTGTAGTATCATTTTATTTAAGTTAAAGATGTGTACTTGGAACTTTAATTCTATCTTAACTTGTGGGTTTTGTTTTCAAATTCACATGGTTTTCATATGCTAGAAGGACCACGGATGAGGATTAAACAGAACCCCAAGGGAACATCATCGTAACATAATTCTGAGGAGCTGTAGCAAGCAGCTGGCTTTTGGCTGTGTTTTATAAAGAGATTCCTCCTGGTGCCACATCTGGGTGGTCACACGGGGCTCATGGCTGCTCCAGGGGCACAGGGCAGGGGGTGAATTCAGCCCTGGCTTTGCAGTCGCTGGGAGCTGTGGAGCAGTGCTGCCTGGTGCTTGGCTGGAGGAGCTGGTGGAGCAGCGATGCCCACAGCAGTGTGTGGCCACAGCCTGAGGAAGCTCTCCAGTCAGGAAACCAGCTGGTAAAGCCACCACAGGCAGGGCTGTGGTGCTCTTGCAGAGGGAAAACCAATGACGGGTCAATTGAAATGGCTCTCTGGGGAATTGTGGGCACTATCATAGAGGCTGGAAGCTGCCTGTGGCTTCCAGTCATACAAATTAGATATGACAGTCATTAGTAATTGGGCTTTATGCTAAGCCATGGACCCTCAGCAGATCTGCACTGGGCAGTTTGCTTTCCAGCAATGTCAGGCAGAGCGGTGGGTCTGAAGCACTTGTGAGAGCCCATGTGGGACTATTGCAGCTTTGGGGGTTCCCCAGCCATCATCACACCCCTGGGATGTCGCTGCTCAGCAAATGTTGCTTCTTTGCTGCAAGGAATCTTAGGTGAAGGATGGTTTTCCTCCAGAGCTGGAGGCACTGTGCTGCAGGGACAGCTCCAGCAGCAGCAGGGTAGAGCAGAGCCTGGGGTCCCTGGGTGCCGCAGCTGTATTTCTGTCCCACGATACACCTTTTGTTTCTTAGGCTTTTTGGGGATAACGCAGCAGGGCTGTTCTAGTGCTGGGTATGTTGCTGTCACTGTCTGCTGGGGCAGGAGGAGGTGGAGTGGGACAATGGGCTGAGGGGATGGGGGTCACGGGGTAGAGCAGGATCAGCCCCAGTCACGATGGCTCAGCCCTCACATTGTCCCTGTGCTGTGGAGGGGGCAGTAGCTGTGACTGCTTCTCCCCATCGTTTGTACCACCCTCCTTGTGTGGCATTGCCTCCATGGCCTTCGGAGCAGTGCAGGCGTGCCCAGTCCCAGGAGGCCTTGGGCAGGCTGGATGCAGCAATGTGATTTTATGGGCTCAGTGTTTCTTACTGTGCTGGATTTCTGAGCCTGCTGTGTTCCCTGGGCACATCTGGAGGGCAGGCACAGCACAGGCCCCTTTCCTCAGTGGCCAGCAGTGAATTGCCTGCACATGTGCAGTGCAGATCTGGGACACCCTCTGTGGTGGGATTTTTGGTTGGTTGGGTTTTTTCTCCTGTGGATTTTCCTTGCTGGATGAGGTGTTCTTCATTCATGGAGCTCCTGCCCAGCTGACCTCCACCAGAGCCGCATCCTCCCATCTGCATACAGCTCTTATTTTGTGCTCCAGTAATTCCAAGGCAACTCTGCTCCCTTCTGAGCTTGAGAGAGATTTACTGGATGGGCATGTAAGGATGCTCTGGGGAAGAATGGAGGTGCCCCACCACCTCTACCATCTCTCCCAGGCTAAGGACATGTGGCTGACACAGGACAAGCATCCTCTGACCTGCTACCAAGCAGGAACTGGGCTGCAAAGCCCTAGGTATGGATCTTGGCCTGGGGCTGCTGCTGCTCTTGCCAAGCTGGGTGAGGATGAGCGCGGCCTCTGCGGCTGCCCTGGTCTCAGTCGATGGGGAGCAGCGCTGGTGGTAGGGGGGTCTGCACTTGCATAAACCAGAATGCAGCATGTGGCGGGGAGCTGAAGAGCAGAGCACTGGAAATCCACACAGCCTCCAGCAAGGGCTCTCCTGCACAGGAGCTCTGCATTGGTCCCTGTTTGCAGGTCCTGCCTGCCCTGCCCCCTGCCTACCCCCCTGCCTGCCCCTGCCTGCGCCCCACGTGCCCTGCCTGCCTTTCCCCATGGGCCCAGGGAGGAGCTGCCACATCGGCTTCACACCCTGCTGACAGCCTGGTGTGGGGATGTGGGAGCAGAGCTCTGCCTCCCCAGGGACTGCTTGGGTGGCCAGGAGGCAGGCAGGTAGGGGGGCTGGCACAGTGGGGCAGGGGCTGTGCCCATCGCCTGAGTTGTGCCTGGGTTCTCACCGCTTTGGCCAGCAGCAGGTGAAAGGAGACAGGTGCCTGGAGAGCATGTGGATGGGCAAGATGGGTGTCTGGGTAGTGACGCGTGCGTCTGGTTTGCTGCTGTGTGAAGTGGGGTGGTGGCACACGGGCAGGGGAGCAATGCTGGGATGTGGCCCAGCTGAGGAGCACTGACTGCAGCGTGGGCTCAGCCTGGAGGGGAGAGGGGCCAGTGGGCCGTGCTGGAGAGCAGTGGTGCCCAACAGGTTCCTAGTGTGGAGGGGTGGTGCCGAGGAAGTGGCACTGTCCTGCGTATCTTCACACCGGTAACCTGCTGCTGACACCTGACTGCAGCACGGGGCAAGGGCACCACGCTGCTGCCCAGGGCTCACTCAGGAGGGGCAGAGGCTGGGCTGGCTTCTGAGCACTGGGGACAGGCTCTGCAGGCAGGGACACATGCCACCTGTGTGTCTGTACGTGCAGTACCGGTGCTGCCCGCGCTGGCCTGCTCCAGAGCTGCCTGCCTGGGTGGTGGCAGAGCCAACGAGCACCCATGGGTGGGAGGGTCTGGCCAGGGATCTGGCTCCTTCTCTGAGGGAGCTTTTGACTTCTCCCAGAGCGAGTCTGCTGTTAATTCCCTCCATCTCCCCACAGCAGCAGCAGTGCCCCCAGGGCTGGGCCGTTGGCAGGCAGGCAGCAGCAGGCAGTGGGGTGGCTTTGAGGACCCATCTCCCCGTGGTCGCGCTCCCAACTCACCCATCAGAAGGTGCGACTCCTGACTCCTGGCTCTTCTGCTCCATCTTTTCCCAGTGGGCAAATTGGAGGCTTGGCGTGACCGGGATGCTCTGAGCCCTTGCCCCAGGAGCTTCAGGCCTGGATGTTGGTGCTGCTCCTCCCGGACAATGTGGCTGATACTCTGGAGAAGCCCTCTCGTGCCCCCTGTTCTCCAAGTGCCTGAGCTGGTGGCTGGCTGGGATCTGCGCCTCGCCCTCTGGATCCTGAGCTTCACCTCAGCGTTCATTCACATGGAGGGCCAGGTCTACTCACCCACTGTCAACACGCACTATGGGAAGTTACGGGGAGTGCGTGTGCCGCTGCCCAGCGAGATCCTGGGGCCCGTGGACCAGTACCTGGGGGTGCCTTATGCTGCCCCCCCCATCGGGGAGAAGAGGTTCATGCCCCCTGAGCCACCACCATCCTGGTCGGGCATCAGGAACGCTACCCACTTCTCACCGGTCTGCCCCCAGAACATCCACAACGCTGTTCCTGAGATCATGCTGCCCATCTGGTTTACCTCCAATTTGGATATTGTAGCCACTTACATCCAGGATCCCAACGAGGACTGCCTGTATCTCAACATCTACATCCCCACGGAGGATGGTGAGTCCCGCCGGGGTGCCCGCAGGAGGGCAGGGGGGGCCGCTCCTCCCCTCCCCAGCAGTGGTTGGTCTCACCTGGGTGTTGTGTTTGAAGCATGCGGTTGTGGACCCTGCAGCATGCTGTCTGTCTGTTTAGAGCTTTCTCCAGCCACGCAGCTCGCCTTCTTGCCCTCAGCTACCATCTCTGTCTCGCGTGCTCCTGCTCCTCCGCCACCTCCCTGCTCCCCCTCCCTCCACCTCCATGGCATTGTCACCGGTTCCTCTCTTGTGGTGCTAAATCTGAATCCGACTCTCTGACCGCAGATCCACAGAGTGACAAGCTGGTTTGTGCTCCCCAGGCGCCGAGTGCCAGGTTCTGTCTTGAGTTGGTTCGGGTTCGTCCCTCCCTGCTTCCCACCCTCCCCAGGTCCATGCGCTAGTTGTGGGTGTGGGCTGCGGCTGGGAGGAACACTCTCTGCCTCTCCCTGGGAAGGTGCTCTGGCAAGGAAGGGGCCTCGGAGCCCTTTTCCGGGCCCTGGTAGCGATGGGAGTTTGGGGCACTGGCAGGCACATGGCTTGGCTGCTCCCCTTTCTGCCGGCGGAACAGCAGTGGAGCAACGAGCCTGGGGTGCCAGGGACCCACGGGCACAGTCCTGTTGGGGTGAGGCTGAGTGGGGCCGGGTGCCTCCTTGTCTAACCTTTTCCTTTGTAGGAGATCCCACCTGAACTGTAAGTAGAGGGCAGCGGAGGCAGCGCCTGCCCGTGCGCCCACCCGAGCCTCACCGCAACAGGAGCCCCCGGGGGTTTTCAGCAGTCTGGAAGGGACCTGCACTGGGTCTGCTGCATGCAGTGGGGCAGCCTGGGGGGCCGGTGGCTTTTCCCAGGCCGACTGGCTCTGCTCCTCTGTCCCCGGGGCCCTTGGCCACGGGATGCATCGTGCCTTCCTGCCTGCCCAGCACGGCTGGCCCAGAGTTTTCCTCCCACGGCAACGCTCCCTCCCCACCTCCCGCGGTCCCGGGGGTGGCGGGAGGGTGGCAGGGGGTTGTGATTGCATGCCCACTCCCACCCGTGGAGCCTCCTGTTATTTTGTAGTATTTTATTCATTTTACAGTAAAACGGATTTCCAAGGAATGCACCCGAAAGCCCAACAAGAAAATATGTAGGAAAGGAGGTATGTAGCAAGGCGACCGGCAGAGAGGCACAGAAAGGAAAGAGAGAGAGAGCGAGAGGGTGCTTGGCCGGTCCCTGGCCGCAGCATTCTCCTCCGGCACCTCTCTGTGCCGCCACCCAGACCGCGGGCCCTCTGAGCAGCCCATCCTGCTGTCCCACAGTTCCCACTCCAAGGAGCCACACAGACGCTCCAGCCACCTCTGCTCCCTGGCCATGGGAGCTGGGACTGGTGCCGGCCGGGAGCACAGGTCCGGGAGCAGGTCAGAGGAGGATGCTCACATTGCCCCAGGCCTTTCAGAACAGCTTCTCTGGGACTGAGCCTTCATCCCAGTGGCACCAGCAGCCTCCCAGTCCCTGGGAATGAGGGCCTCTGATGCCAGGTAGCACTTAAATGCACCCATCTCTTATGGATGCATTCCCCCTCTGGGGTGTATAAACCCCCTCAGGGAAGCATGAGTGTGATGGGGGCCTGCAGCCCACCCTGAGATAAGGAATTACCCTGCTGCATCCCTGGTCATTTTGCATCCAAATTTCCTTGGTTAAAAGCATCTTCTGGCTGCATAAATGCTACCTGCTCTAGTGGAGAGTGTCTCTGCCTGTGGCAGGGGGTTGGAACCAGATGAGCTTTAAGGTCTCTTCCAACCCAGACCAGTCTGGGATTCTATGTTCTGCCTCAGCTCATGGTCCTGCCAATGCTGCTCACGCTCCTGTGCTTCTGCCAACCCTGCCAGTGAGGACCTGCTCTCCACCCCTGGCATAGCATGCTTCCCAAGCCCCAGCCAAGCACTTCCAGCTCAGACACATTTCTGCTTTGCTTTGTCTCCATCCCCAGGGCTACACGGGGCTCATCTTACTGCACTGGGACAAAGGGCAAAGCTCAGCCCCCTTGCCCCAAAGTGATCCTGTGTTCCTAGCCAGTGATGTGGGCTAGGGAGTGGAGACAGGCAAATGGGAGCTGGCTCAGCTGCTTGCTGGACACAAGACTTTGCCCACCCCACTGCATGACCCCCTTGCAGGCAGGGAGAGCCTGGGCTGCTCTGTGTGTCCCCAGGTCGGATGTGTGGGCAGACAAACAGCCACGCTCTTCTGGAAGGCTCAGCACAGGGAGGGGGTGTCTGGTGGGCAGGGGGTCCCTGCATCCCAGCCTCCACCTCCCTGCACCCCTGAGGTTGGTAGGGCCGGCGCAGCTGGGCTTGGATGTTTGGGGAGCACTTTCCTTCCAGCCGTTTCCCCGAGGTTTGTTCCTGGATTTCTTTGCTTTGCTTTTCCTGTTGCTGCCCTGGCTATTCACATGCCATCCCTCTTGAGTGCCAAGGCTGGCCCTGAAAGGGCTGCTGCATTAGGGAGTCTTTGCACGCTGCCTCCGGAGCTGGCTGTGCCAGCGATCACCAGCCACTTCAAAGCGCTTCCTCTCCCGGCCCTCCCACCGGCTGCTGGGGCTGGCGGACCCCCTCCATCCCTGCTGTAGGCCAGCGCCAAGGAAGCAGGGTCTGCATTATGGCTGGAGGAGGGGGGTGCTATAAGACACAGTGAAACATCTCAGGCACGCTCATCTCCTGGTTCTGCCTCCCTGTCAGCTCTGCTCATGGGCACAGTTTCTTTGCAGCCCATCTGCAGCTGCCTCTGGTCACCTCCCTGATGTGCCCTCTGCCCCCACTGGGCTCTGCTGGCTCAGGGACCAGCAGATCTCCCCAGTCGGCCGCTTGGGAATCCAGGCATGATGTGCTGATAATTAAAGCACCCAAACATGGACACTGCCATTGGCTCAAACTGAGTCCCTTGTGATGAGACACGGGGTTCCCAGTCCCTCATTTGTGCATCCGTTAGGAGTGCCTGAGGTAAGGATCATGCACCTACAGTGCTGATTGTTTTGGGCTGTGTCATTTGAACACTGGCTTGTTCTGGAATAGTAATGATTATTATTTGTAAGGCCACATACGAGCAGTGAATAAGCTCTCCTCTCACAGAGCAGTATTTTGGCAGTTTAAAATGCCTCAGCTCCCACCTCAATGGACTTTCCGTTATTTCTGCCACTCCTAAGCTCAGCATATTCCACAGCAGCCAAAGGACTGAGAATTTATCAGAATTTATCCCTTTGACAAAAAAAATGTCTCCATTTCCAGACCCAGTTGCCCACAATAATTTCCTATATGGATATTTGCTATGTGCCAGTCTCCTCCATGCACACCGGTCCCTTCACTGGGAGCAAGGCATGGATGGTGCCAGGGGAGCTGGTAGCACTGAGACTCAAGTTTTCTGTGAAAATAATGCTGTCCACCTGAACAGGACGCACACACGGTACAGACCCTATGTGCAAACCACAGCTCTGCCCTTTGCTTTGTGCTGCCAGCACTTGAAGCCTATCCTTGGCTCTGGTGGGAGCTGCTTTTCCCTTTCCTTCGCCACCAGTCTGGGCAGGCCTTCCCTGTGAGGGTGCTGAGGCGCTGGCACAGGGTGCCCAGAGAAGCTGTGGCTGCCCCATCCCTGGCAGTGCTCAAGGCCAGGTTGGACACAGGGGCTTGGAGCAAGGTGCTCCAGTGGAAGGGGTCCCTGCCCGTGGCAGGGGTTGGAGCTGGAGGAGATTTAAGGTCCCTTCAACCCAACCCATTCCATGATTCTCTGAGCAGGTTGATGACATTTTCAGAGGGGAAAGGTGTGGCTGCCCTGCACATAGCAGCCCTCCCCAGTTTTTACTGCCCTAATCTCTCTAGTTGGGCTGTGCAGAGTCCACGAAGCTGCAGGGACAGATGTGCCAGTCCAGGTGTGCAAGGCTGGCTGGAGCTCCCAGCAGCTCCTGGGCTCGAGATGCACTTCACCTGCGTCGTGGGAGAAGCATTGTGGCTTCTCCACTGCTTTCCAAGGAGTAAACGTGTCCAAGTACTGGCTGAGGCTTCCCTATGGCTGTGTGACTCCTGCAGTGCTCCCTTGCTGGAAGGCTTCTCACCAGCCTCCTGTGAAACCTGGAAGCTTGCAGGGCTGGCCTGGTGCTCCTAGGGTGTGATTTGCAGAGGTGAGGGTGGGTGTTTGTGCTGGTGGGGGCAGCAGAGCGTGAGATGAAGTGCTTTTATGGAGTGCGCTAAAGGATGGAAATTAGTCCTCTACATCACCCACGGACAGGGAGGGGCAGGGCAGTACTGCAGGATGCTGCAGTCCTGGAGCAAGGGCCACCCAACACAGGTCCCAAGGCAGCTGCCCCTGCCTGTGGGGTGGTGCAGCAGCAGGGTCAGCAGCTGCCATCAGCCCTGGTCCTATTCCTTGTCAGTCCTGGAGGAGCACCTGAGCCGATCTGACCACCAGCGTGTCTGCCTCTGACTGGATGTGGCCATCAGGCATGGTAGCTGCTGGGGGGTGCTGCTCCCCATGTGCAACTGTGTGAGTGCCTCCTACACTGAGGAGGGGGTGCTGGGGCTGCCCACAGCCACCCTGAGCAGATGTCTGGGTCAGGAAAAGTGTCAGCTCAGGTTCCTGCTCTTCTCTGATCCACGCCATGCTGATCACAGAGGCTCCAAGGACTGAGGCTCCTCAGCCTCCTTTATCTCTGTTTGCACTGGTGTCAGTGCTGTTGGCACAGTTTACTTAAGATAGCACAAATCTCGTGCGGATGCCCCTCCTTCAGGGCAAGTGATTTTATTTTTTACTGAACTTGAGCTTAAATCTTCCTAGAGCCTTCAGATAAGACCGTGTGCATTCTTCCTATCAGCCCGAACAATGTCACTTCACAGTCAGCTTACAGTGAAGTGGAACAACAGGCATTCACACTGGGTGAGTGGAAGACATTTTTGATGGGAAAAGGAAGGAAGAGCCTCGAGGCCTTTTGTTTTTTCTAGCTTGAATCCATAATCTTAAACCCATCCTCATGAGGGTGGGTGCTCTGTGGCTCTGTGTGGTGACCTTTGCCAGTACAGAGGAAGATCTCTGGACCTGGGGGTCCTGGTGGACAAGTTGTCATAAGTCAGCAATGTGCCCTTGTGGCCAAGAGCACTGGTGTCCTGAGCTGCATTAGGAAGAGTGGGTCAAGAGAGGTGACCGTCTCTCTCTACTCACTCCTGGTGAGGCTTCACCTGGAGCATGGTGGCCAGTTCTGAGCTCCCCAGTATAAGTGTGACATGAAGCTCCTGGAGCAAGCCCAGCAAAGGGCTACTAGATTGATTAAGGGTCTGGAACACCTCTCATATGAGGAAAGGCTGAGGGAGCTGGATCTGTTTAGCTTAGAGAAATCTCGGGGGGGATCTGATCAACATATAGAGGTATCTGAAGGGAGGGTGTCAAGAGGATGGAGCCAGTCTTTTCTTGGTGATGCCATGCAATAGGAGGAGAGGCAGCAGGTATAAATCAAATCACAGGAAGTGGGTCCACCTGAACATGAGGAAGAATTTTTTTACTGTGATTGAGCATTAGAATAAGTATCTGGGTGGGTTGTGAAGTCTCCTTCCATGGAGATACTCAAGAGCTGTCTGGACACTGTTCTGAGTGATGCGCTTTAGGTGACCCTGCTTGAGCAGGGAGGTTGGACTAGATGACCTCTGATGGTCCATTCCAATCTCAGCCATTCTATGATCTCCTGGTGTCCTTGAACATGGCAATAACCACTGGAGGGAGGTAATGTAGCAATGTGTAAGACATGGGTGAAGGAAGCAAAGCTGTAGTTGCTCTCAGGAGCTGTGTGGCGTCAGTCGGTCCTTGTGGAGGTGAACAATATAGCGAGAGGCAAAGAGCCTGCTGGTTGCAGCAGCCTGTGTTCCCCATAGTCCCCACTACCCCAGCACCTTCCTGCTGGTGGGGAAGGCTCGTGCTTTGCGTCTGCCATGCCCACATACTGCCACTGTTCCCCCTGGTCTGCATTACTGCGCTCCTGCTTTGCTTAGCTTCCCAGCACTGCTTTCTACTGTCCCTTCTGTGGCGTGTGTAGCTGAGGTTACTTTAGGCTTGTCCCAGCCATCCCTAGGCTCCAGGGCAGCAGTCTCCAGCCAGACCCCACCCTGCTCGGCCAGGACACTTGCTCAGGTCACAGGGATGTCGTACACTGCCCTATCTTACAACCTGACAGCTCCTCATAGCTGGTTCCTCCACCCCTGACTGCGTGGAGACCTTTGTCTCCTGAAGGAGACCAGGCTGGAGGGCTGCAGTCCAGCTGATCCCAAGGCTTTAACAGCACCAGGGCCCTTGGCAGTGGAAAGGGATCTCTAGCTGCATGTGATGGGCTTCCCAGCTCTGAGGCACAGTGCGGACGAAGGCTTGTGTCTGCGGTCTTTATCAGAGAAAACCCTGAGCGGTCCCAAGGAGGCTGGCGCACAGCATCCATGAGCCAATGTTGCACACGTACTTCGCATTCTGCTTTCTGGGCTTGCAGCTCTTCCTAATGAAGATGCAGTAGGTAAAGCTTGCAGCCTCCTGCAAAGAGGCTGACGGGAGGGCGGGGAGGGAAGGAGGTAGCAGTAAGGGGGATTCTGGGGCTGGGTGGCTGGGGCGAGAGCTTGCAGGGATGGGAGTGGTGTTGAGTGAAAACAGGAGAGTGATGTGAGGAGCTCAGAGGACGGCTGGGTGGTGAAGCAGGAGGCAGGGAGGCAGGGCTGGGGCATGGAGGGGGCAGGCTGGGAGGTGAACTCAGAGGAAATGAGGATGGCACTGGAGACAGCAGATCCATCCCTGCCCCAGGCAGGAGCAGCTCCACCTCACCTCTTCCTGGCAGCGTGTGTCTCACCTGGTCACACCAGGCCGTTCTGCCAGAGCTTGCTTACCTTCTCATCCGGCTTCAGGCTGCCTTGGATAGCCCCAGGGCTGCCTGTGCTCTGCACAGTGGAGGGGCAGTTGCTTCTCCACCTCACCACCTCGCAGTGGCCTTTCCTGTGCTGGGATGCTCGCAGGATTCAGGTGACCCACCTCCTGCAAGCTTTTCATGCCTGCAGGTTTTTCAGTCCTTTAAAAGGGATTTTTCTAGACTTCTGGTCCTTGCTGCTGACTCCGGGTCACATCTGCTTAAGGTGCTGTGCAAGCATCTTGCCCTGATGGGGCTGCCCCGCAGCCGTTTCAGAAATCTCACTCCCCTATCACAAATCCTTTTTAAATTCAAACCCTGTCCCACTCCACGCTGCCATTTCTGTTATCCGTCACCTGGGTCGCCTGCAGGATCCCACTCCCAGTGTGGCAATAGGAATAACTGGTCTTTCTGTCCTGTACTCACCTCATTGTAGTTCAGTCCGGCTGTGGGGCTGCCCCTTGCTCACAGGAGCCTTGCTGGAGACCGTGCAGATCCCTTGCTGCAGTGGTGATGGGCCCTGCTGGTGATCGCAGCAGGGATCAGCGGGTGCCTGGCAGGATCCCGCAGCCCTGTGTGTCTGGGGGAGGTCCCGGGGCAGCGCAGGCACAGGGCAGGCAGTCCTGCCCTGGGGAAACCCTGCTGTCACTGCCGAAGGCACCCGCACCCAGGGATCTTGGTTGGGGCAGGCACCGGGCAGCAGAGGACTGCAGGTGCTACTCTGCAGCTCTAAAGGGGTAACAGCACTGCAGCCTCTTCCTGAAATCTGGGGCTGATGGCACTCCTCAGCTTTGTGCCCACAAGGGCACGGAGCCTTGGTAAAGCTCTGCACTGGGTCTGTTCCCTGCCAGCCCAAAGGCCACATCTGGCTCACGCCAGCAGCATGCAGCTCAGGAGGTGACGTGTTCGGTGCTCAGGATGTGCCATCCCCCAGTGCTGGGCTGATGTTGCTGGCCCTGGCACCATGGGCTTGCTAAGCACCGTGCAACAACTGGAAGGCATTCAGGATGTTACAGAAATCAGTATTTTTAGGGTTCTGCCTTGACTGTGGCCAGTTGGTTGGTGCCTTTGCAATCAGTCACACGTGTGCCTAGTCTCCGAGCAAGGGAGTTGGTACAGGACAGCTGGGCCGTGCACGGAGGTGCCCGTCACAACGGCTCCCTGCAGCGTGCCGTGGTGGGCTCGTGCCACGGCACTCGTGGTCTGTGGCGTAGCTGTGCCAGGCAGGAGCAGCCATGTGCTGCGTGGCGCTGACAAGCAGGATCCCAGGTGGTGGCCAGAGGCCGCCCAGGGCAGCCCTTCCCGTGGCTGGTCTGTTGGCAGGGATGGCTCTGCTCAGGGGCAGCAGAGCTGGGAGCAGGGGTCCTGCTTGCACCGGGGAGAGGAGCCTTGCCCTGGTGCCAGGAGCCGAGGGGCTGCACGCACGTGGGGCCAGGCTGGGACACAGCGAGCGCCTGCGAAGGCTGAGCCAGCACCAGCGCTGGTGCTGCCACAGGCCCCGTGCAGGAGCGGGGAAGGGGCCCGGGTGAAGCGGGTCCCGGGGCGGTGCTGCCGCTGCCCTGGCGCTGGGAGAGGCGCAGTGTGAGTACCAGCGGTGCTGTGGGGCACAGGCCAGGCCCCAGCAGCTCTGCTATCACGCTATTTTTGAATTCTCTTTTGTTGTTTTGTTCTTTTTTCTTGTTGTTTTGGTTTACTTTTTTGTTTCGTTTTGGTTTTGTTTTCCTTTCTGTTCTGTCTCCTCGTGTTTGGTCCCTAGGAACCAGCGCTAAGAAACAGGGCGAGGACTTAGCGGATAATGACGGTGATGAAGACGAAGGTATTTCTGTGCTTGAGGCTGCCACTGCATGACATGCAAAGCGACTCCGTTTGCCTGCCACCCGCTGCCATCCCCAGGGAGCCCTGTGTGTGTCCGTGTGCCGCAGGCGGGCACAGGCGGGGGGCAGGCTGGCTGGCTGTGCAGGCGCCCAGGCCCTTCCCCTCCCCGGGCAGGGGGAGAAGCTTGTGGGGTGTCTTCTGCCGTAGGAGAAGGTGGCTCCCACTTGAGCGAGGGCAGGCAGGAAGCACGGCAGCCTGGAGGAGGGGTGCCCTGGGGCACCTGGGCCCATTCCACCCTGAGCCCAGTCACACCCCACCACCAGCCTCATCCCTCTGGACTCGGTGACATGCAGCTGGGAGCCAGCGACCTCCTCCCGCGTCCAGGCCTGCCGCGGGCATTGCCGTGGAGTGGCCATGCCAGCAGCTTGGCAACCTTGGCACCTGCAGGGCCGTGCGCAGGAGACCCACAGTCCGCTTGGACACGGTTTCTGTTCAGTTCTCTCCTGTGCTCAACATGAGCAAGGTCTTGCTTGCCACCAGAGCAGAAGCACCGGCTGAGGCAGAGCGAGTGAGCTTTCAGCAGATGTGATTCTAGAGCTGAGCCAGGGCTGAGCGAGCTGCAGAATAAGCTATTTTTAGTGAACCAGGGCTGTTCATCTGCAGGGTGTGGAGCCGGTGTGTTTGGCTGCAGGGATGGGAAGAGGAGGCAGCAGGAGAGGTTGGCCAGGGTGCAGCCCTAATGCGCAAGGACAGTAAATCCTCATGGTGTGCAGGAGTCCCCGTGCAGCTCAAGCGCAACCTGGCAGATGGCGTTTAGGAAACAGATGAAAAGCTTTTTCCTTGGCAGGACCACAGCCCCATTGTTTTCTCCCACTGACCTGTGGCCCAGGATCTCTTGTACCAGGGTATAAACTGGCATTCAGCCTAAGTAACTTAACTGTGCTAAATCCTGCACACTAAAACATGCTGCAGCCATTGGGAGCCACTGTGGTACGTCTGTACATTGCTGCCATTCTGCTGCAAGGAAGTCCCTTTGTACGCCGGCGAGAGCATGTGACAGGGAGGAGAGGAGCCAGACATGGATGTACCTGCACTTCGCATTTCAAGCAGGTGGTTTCTGGGAAGAGTTGTCCTGCTGTAGCTCTGCTGCTTGGGCAATGTCTGTCCCGGAGGCCCTGCAAACGCTTTTTGCTCCTCAGGTCTGTGCATTTGCCTGGCTTCATCCTGGCAACAGAAAAAGCGCCAGCACAGGTCTTGGCATATGCTGATTCTCCTGGGTGGAAGAGCTTTTCCATATGGAAGGGTGGCCACCCTTAGCCATGCCTCAGGCCACAGCTGGAGGTGGGGATGTGAGAGGTACCCGTCAGCAGCCCTCTGCCATGGGCAAGACACAGGGAGGTGTGCACGTGGGCAGGGGTTAGGTGCTGAGCATCCCTGGCCAAGCATCCCTACTGCTGTGCGGTGCTGCTGTACCTGCGTGTACCCCCTGCGGTGGGGCTGGCTCCTGCCTGGTGCCTGGTGCCGGGCCCGGCAGCGAGCAGCCCGTGAGCAGCCCCCGCAGGCAATGCAGCCTGCCAGAGCGAGGTGCTGGGTGCAAGTGAGCATGAGGGAGGGCAGAGTCCATCAGGGCTGGGCACCACAGCTGCAACCACCTCTTCCATCAGACACAGGTGAGAGGGACCAGGAGTGGAGCATGGGTGTTCTTCCCTTGTGCCTGGGCTTGGCTCCAGGAGGGACCCTAGGCCAGTGGGGCAGAAGGGGAAGGATGCTCCCCTGGACAGGGCTAGTCGAGAGAGGGAGTGTGGCTGCTCCCTGTCCCCTAGGCTCCCACGGTCCTTCCTCCTCAGCCCTCAGGGTCCCATTCCCCAGTGTCACTCCATGCCTCATGCCCTGTCCTCGTCTGGATACTGCTCACCTCCCTGACACGCACACATGCACACACTTTCTGCCTCATCACCATGTGTGTGTCTGGGCACTGGGGTGCCATGGGTTCACAGTCAGGCAGCTGGCAGGTTTCTACCTTACCAGGACAGACGGGAATGGGGGGTGTGGGGAGAGCCAGATGTTGGAGCACCCACAACTGCCCCTGCTGCCTTCCAGGTCCTGCACACCCCCGTCCCTGCCCCCCTGCAATGCCAGCTTCCAGGACTCCTGGAGCTGAGGGCTTGGGTCCAGCCAAAGACAGGACATGGGGCTGCATCCTGGGGCTGGAATCTGCAACTCCCACCCACAACAGAGGTGCCGTTGGTCTAGCTCCCGCACGCATCCAGAGCAGCCGGGTACAGCCGGCACCTCTCCCACATGTGCTGAGACCCCCAGGGGGACAGCAGTGTGGAGGTGGTGCAGAAAGGGGCTGGCAAAGATGGTTCAGCAGTTGCTGGCCTTGGAGGTTCATGCTGTGACCACCAGGAGAGCTCTGGGTTTGGTTTCTAAGCCCCTGTCCCCAGTCCTGGCAGCTGGCATTGCCCTCGTCCTTGGTCTGCCTGTGGGGCAGGTACTGCAGCCATCAGCAGGGTCCTGTGTTTAACCGCCTCTCCTTCCAGACATCCGGGACAGCGGGGCCAAGCCGGTAATGGTGTATATCCACGGTGGCTCATACATGGAGGGCACAGGGAACATGATAGATGGCAGCGTCCTGGCCAGCTACGGGAACGTGATTGTCATCACCCTGAACTACCGCGTTGGAGTGCTTGGTACGGGCTGGCCAGCATGGGCGCAGCAGGGCAGTGGGACCAGCACCCACAGCTGGTGGGTGCAGAACCAGACGGGAAGGGGGTGTTGGGAGGAATGGGACCCAACAGGATGGGAGCTGCAGTGTAACAGGCTGCCCCCGCCCTCTGCCCTGCACACTGGGGTGCAGTGGGGTCTGGTTCCTGGCACTGGCCCCCTCCAGGCGCATTTACACAACCTGGCTCAGCTGAAAGCAAATATTGCTCTGCAGTTAAATAAATAATAAATGTGCTTACCCAGCATCTCCTCCTGAGAGGGCTCAGAGCAGTGAGCTGTCAGTGGTACGGCCTGGCTGCCCTTGGGACCCCAGCAGCTCTCCCTCCCCACGCACGGGCTGTCCCCACGCCAGCTGAGCTACTGGGACCCCTGCAGCCCCCCACCGTGTCCTGGCTTTCTGCAGAAGGGGTCACAGAAAGGTGTCGGGTGCCGTATAGAGGAGGGTCACAGTTCTGATCTCATGAGCCCTGATGACCTAAGGAGGTGAAATGGGGGCAGAGGGTCAAAAGGCAGTGCTATCCCCTGTCTGCTGCAGCAGAACCCCCCATGACTTGGGACATGAGATCTGCCTGGAGCATCGCTGCTGCTTCCCTTAGCAGCAGGTAGAACAAGGGGTGCGTAGATTTGAGGAGAGCTCCTTCTCAGTCAAACTGCTGCAGGGCCAGCTCTCTCTCTCCCAAGCCATCCAATGTGGCACAGCTGGGCTCCTGACCAGTACCCATGGCAGCACATCTCCCTGGCAGCCTCCAGACCCCATAGTCTCCTGGGGAAAGATGACAGTTAAAACAGGCTTTCCAGTAAAAACAAGCCTATTCAAGATGTTTCAATATTTAAAGTCAACTCTCTTAAGACAGATAGGTGCAAATTTAAGAGACATACATCACAATATGAAATAAGACTTTAATGGTGTCGTTATCATCTCCATTGAGGTGGTGCAGTGTGCCTGGCCAGAGCACTTCCAGTGCTGGAGCAGCAGCACCAGTGCCGCTCCCTGCCTGCCAGGGTTACCTGCCTGGATTTTACCTCAGCACCCTGGTTTTGGCTTCCTTCTTTGAGTCAAAGCAAATGAAACACTGATAGCTTATCTTGGGTGTTGCCTTTGCTATTGAAAGCATTCCTCAGCATCTTCCTCACTGCGAGACATTGTATTTTAAGCTGCAGTGGGTTCCCCTCTGCCCAGCCCACCTCCTTACATTTATAGAGCAAATGCTAGTTTGCATTGCTAGTCCACGGAAAGCATTGGCTGTGCCCACACTCGGCCTGCCTGCAGCCACCACTGCTTTCTCGTCTTTCCTTGGAGCATGCATGAGGTGTCTTGACCTTTTATTAGCACAGGTGGTGGGGCAAGGGTAGGATGAGGCTTCATGCCCATCACTCACAGCCCTTCACCCCTCTGTGCTGCACAGAGGCTGGCTGGAGCTCAGTGGTGTCCCCTCTCCAGCTTAGTGCTCACAGGACTTTCTTGGTAGTGGGGTCTCATGCTGTGGTAGGACAGGGTCCTGCAGAAGCTCCTCTAGGCCCAGGGAAGGGAGGTGGGAGGTCAGGATACCCCCTGCTTCCACACCCCTAACCAGGCTCCCCTTGGCTCACAGGGTTCCTGAGCACGGGGGACCAGGCTGCCAAGGGCAATTACGGGCTGCTGGATCAGATACAGGCGCTGCGCTGGGTCAGTGAGAACATCGCCTTCTTTGGGGGAGATCCCTTGCGGATCACCGTCTTCGGTTCCGGCATCGGTGCCTCCTGTGTCAGCCTGCTCACCCTCTCCCACCACTCTGAAGGTAGGTGCCAGCTGTGCCTGAGGACGCTGCGGCTGCTGATCTAAGCTGGTACCAGCAGCCACCCCAGCCGAGTTAGGCCTGCGGTTTAACTAGTCACTGGTGAGAGGGGAACCCAGGGCTGGGAAGCTAAACCTTCTCATCATGGGCAGGCAGAGGCCAGCAGCCGAGCACATGGGAGCCAGGAATGGAGCTGGTGCTCCCAGCACATGGGGCTGCAGCTCAGGTCGAGCACCTGGGTGTGGGGAGAGGTGGGGACCCCTCCTGCAGCTCCTTGCCCGTGTGCAGGTGTGGAGGGGGTGCAGGGCATCTTGCAGGGTACTGAGAGCACAGATTGCAGTGCTCGGAAAGGCATTCATGCTGGAATAGAGGGGAAGCCGGACCTGAGCCTGGGGAGGCATGGAGCACCCCGTCTTGTGAGACTGGGCTAGCTGTGGAAACACAGTGGAAGTGATACGGTTGATATCTGTAAATATAGCAGAGTGTTTACTCTAGATAAAGAAATGAATTCCTTATGCTAGAAGATTGTTGGCATAAGAGCAAATGCATGTAAACCACCCACAAAGATACTTACATTGAACACTAGGAAAAAAATTAACCATGGGAGTAGAGGTGTTCTCAGCAAATGTCCTAAAGGAAATGGCAGGCACAAAGCCTGAATTGGTCCACAGGTAAGCAGCCTGCCAGAGTCTTGGTCACAGGGCTTTGTATGAGGGTGCATCCCTCTTCCAGTGCTGTGCCTCCAAGCATAGTGCAAGAGAGAAGATTATGCATAAGGGCAATGGATACGGGCATGAGTTTGCACCTCAGCGATGCACACAATTGCACTTGAAGCTGTTGGAAAGAGCTGCAGCCCAGCTCAAGAGCCTGGGAACCACACAGGAATGGAGCCCTTCAGCAGTGCTGGTGACAAGGTGGAGGGTTTATGGGAGGAGTCTGGCACTGGCCAGGCTGCTTGCAAAGCCTTCCTCTGGCCCAGGTGGCCGCTGATGGACTGATTGCCCCAGTACTGAAAGCAGGAGTGATCTCAGACAAGGCTGCTGCAAAGGTGGCTGCACCAGCACCAGCATCACAGTCTGCCTGGCAGTACTCGATGTGGAGGTTTGCAGGGGCTGCTGGTGTTAGCTGTGGTAAGAGGTGGCAGAGCTTGTCCTCATGATAGGTAATGAAGGGCAGCATCCTGCTGAACCCAGACCTGACACCTACATCGTAGGATGCTGGTGCACCATGGAGTCAAAGGCAAGCCCAAAACACCTCTCCCAGTCTTATCCAGCTGCTCTTTCTCGTTAAACTTGCCTGATTCCAGCACACCATTTGCCCACCCCCATGTACAGACCCACTGCTGCACTGGGCTCTGCTTCCCACTGATGACCCTTCCCCAGGAGCATATCCCTGCTGCCCATCAGGGTGCCCAGTGGTCATAGCCAGCTGCCAGCCTCTCCTTGGATAGGCCAGAGAACTGGAGAGGCTGAGACATGCTGCCATGGCTCAGGGGCTCAGAGAATGCAGAGGGGCTCCAGAGCTTTCGGGGTGGGGGGATATCCCAAGCATGGGATAACCCACCAGGTTCCGTGCTCCCTCTGTGCTGGGGCCAGGACACAGCCAGCACGAACTCACCCTGTGCAGAATGCTCCTGCTCTGGGGGTGGCTGCTCCCACTGCTGGGCAACCCTTGGCTCCCCAGGGATCAGAGCTCTGGATGCTCTGCCCCACAGACCTGACAACAGAGGCACGTCTGGACCTGGTGGACAGCCGCTTCCCAAAGCTGACAGCACATACGGAGCTGTGTTGCCTGCTCAGGACACGTCTGTTCTGGGTGAGCCCCTTTCCCTGCTGCTGCAGGGTGCTCAGGACACTTGTGCTCTGTCTGTACTCCTGCAGGAGCACCCAGCGCCTGAAGTGACCCCCTCCATCATCCTGCTCCCCTGTGCCAGCTCCTGAGCAGGATGCTCCTGGGGCTGTTGGCTTGGGGAAATATTAATGGGTATTAGACTACAATAAGCTTCGAGAAAATGTGAGTTATACGTACAGAGCCACTGAGGATGATGCAGTGCCAGAGCAGGGCAGGACCTCACTGCTTTTGGGGCTTCTGGGGTAGGACTCTCAGCTCCTGAAAGGTGCACTGGGCAGGCAGCAGCTCTTTAGCACACAGGAGGAGATGCTTCTGGCAGATAAAAGCAGAGGATGTTTTGCTTGTGTTAGATGTTGAGTAGTGTGTAGGAAAGGAGCACAAGTAGATCTTTGCAGATTTCTGAGCAGTGGGCAGGGCAGGGAATGCCCTGCAGCTGCAGGGGCCTGTGCCACCCCTGTGTGGACACCTAGAGCTCTGTGTGCCCTTCTACCCCTGTGCAGTCACCCCTGGCTGAGTGGGCACAGGGGCAGAGAGTATTTCATAGGCTGAAAGCTCCTGCAGAAAGAATCATGGAATGGTTTGGGTTGGAAAGGACCTTAAGATCATCCAGTTCCAACCCCTGCCACGGGCAGGGACCCCTTCCACTGGAGCAGCTTGCTCCAAGCCCCTGTGTCCAACCTGGCCTTGAGCACTGCCAGGGATGGGGCAGCCACAGCTTCTCTGGGCACCCTGTGCCAGCGCCTCAGCACCCTCACAGGGGAGAGCTTCTGCCTTAGATCTAACCTGAATTTACCCTGTTTCAGTTTGAACCCCTCACCCCTTGTCCAATCAGTACAGTCCCTAATGAAGAGTTCCTCTCCTGCATTCATGTAGCCCTCTTCAGACACTTGAAAGCTGCTCTGAGGTCTCCTCATAGCTTCTCTTTTCCAGGCTGAACTACGCTAGTGTTCTCAGCCTGTCTTTATATGGGAGGTGCTTCAGCCCCTGATTATCCCCATGGCCAACATAGGAAAAAGGGTTTTCTTTGCTCATGCTGATTGTGAAAGGCCAGGGGGGGGATGCCAGGTGTAATGCATTCATAGTACTTCTTACAGGAGTGCCTGGAGGCAGGCAGAGATTGCAGGGATGTGGTTTCGGTCCAGGAGTCTCCTGTATGGGATTGGGTTCTTGCCTTGCCCTGCTTCTGGCAGGGCACCCAGAAGCCAGAATGCCCCTAAGGTTGTAGACTGGGTTTCATGGCCAGATGGTGACACCTCTTAGGAAGCAGGTCTGTGTGCTTGGCTGCCTAGGTAGCCTGGGTTGAAGGGAGCAGCATGGAGAGAGGCTGGGGATGGAGGGGCTGCTCCCCAACTTTCCAGCCATAAAAAACACTGTTGTGCCAGTGTAGTGCTTCTCAAGTGACATTTGGCTTTCTGCCACTAAGCACTGCATCTGCCTGCCATGTCCTTTGCTGCCCCATCCGGGCCCATTGCCTGTGGTGTGGTTCCCTGGGCATCACAGTGGCGCTGGGTGCCTGGCACCCTCCCTGCTGTGGCAGGGGAGCTGCTGCCAGCTGTAAATGCTGTGAGGCAGGAAGGGAGTGCCCAGTACTGCAGTGTTTCATCAAAGCAAAAGGCCATGAAATGACCTCAAAAAAGCTCTGCTCCAGAGCACTCATCTTCCCAGAGAGAGGGCAGCCAGCACTGGAGCAGGGTAGGGAAACTGCACTGAGATGCACCATGAAGACCAGGCAGATTTGTTTCTATTGCATCAAAATAAAACTCATTTTGATCAAGAGCTATTAATGAAGCTGCTAATTTGTGCCTGCTCTGCCAGGTGCTACAAGAGGCAGATGCTGGAGGCTGCTGCAGCACATGCTGTGTCTGGCTGCCAGGGACACCCATGGCTTCCCTGCCAGCCTCAGCCCATGTAGGTGGGTTGGTTCCTCACCAAAGTGCTGCTTCTCTCCCCAGGCCATGCTGGGGCAGGAGCAGTCACTGCTGTGCAAACCTCTTATATTTCCTTTGCCCCATCTCCTGCTCTGTGGGGACTGGTGCCCTTCACTGCCAGCTCTGTGTGTGCTCAACTGGACAAGGCACCCAGCACCCTGCTTGGAGTGCGGCTTGGCACAGACAACCCCAGAGGTGTTTCTAGTCTCAGAGGGGAAGTCAAGAGCTGGTGGCAGCCTGCAGCACGAGGCACCAGCTGGCACAGCCCTGGCCCCACTCTGGCTTCACTCTGCTGTGGCAGCCAGCTCTGCAGGACCCGAGAGGTGTTGGGACCCTCACCTTGGAGGGGATCAGACAGAGAAGACAGAGCTGCACCTTCCTGCCCGGGCCCCAGCAAGCTGGTGAGCGCTGGGGTGAGCTGCAGCGTGGCAATGCCTCCCTGGGATGCTTATTGGGCTTCAGTGGGGTGCTGGCATGGAGCAGGAGGGCATGGCAGGACTGGGCTCTCACACACTCCTGGGTCCTCCTGGACCGGGACATGGCCATGCAGAGACACAGCAAAGGGACGCTGTCAGGGACACAGCCAGTTGGTGACACCAGCTGCCTGTGCTTCTGCAGACAGGGGTGAGCAGTGGCAGAGCCCAGTCTGGTGAGTCCCTCTGGGAAGTGATGCTGCTGGCAGGGAGTGATAGCTGTTGCTGGGACAGCATCTCCTGAGAGACTGGAAACCACCATCCTGGCCCGTTGGCACATGGGTGACGCTGCAAAGCAAGCAAGCCCATGGCCAGTCTCCAGCCTGTGGGCTGGTTACAGCTTTCTAGGGCAGCAGGAGGTGACAAACAGAGCTTGTGACTTCCCTTTGTCCCAGTGCATGGGACTGTACACCAGGTACTTGGCAGAGCAAGGACTGTGAGTACAGACAAGAGCTATGGGCATGGTGGCTGGGAGCCAGGAGCCTCCAGACACTTCTGCTGGAGGAAGGTGCATGCTTTCCCCTGCAGGGTGACACGGCCTTGGTTGCACGGGGAGTTTCATGTAGGCACTCCATGATTCAGGGGGCCAGGGGCAGCCTCACAGCCACCATCCTGCTGTGCCAGCAGCTTTCAGGGACCGCCTGAGACAGTCCCTCATGGCAAGCTAATGTCAGGGTCTGACAAGGGCGCAGACAGCACCCAGGGTGCCAGAGGGGGATGGCCCAAAAGCAGGGACCCCAGGGTGCACCCCAAGCCTGGCTGCCTTTCACGGCCCCGGAGGCTCCACTTCCTCACCGCCCTTTGTATTCCCAGCACAAGCGCCATTGACATGGGGTTGGAGTGTAGCCACGCATTCCTCCGCCTGGGCCAGGGCCTTTGTGGCCCCGTTTTCCAGGGCGAAAGTCCACTCCCTCTGTGTTCCCGGTGGCAGAAAGGCCCTCTTTGTGCATCTGGCAGCGTGCTTCTGCAGGGCTGGATTGGCACCGAGCAGCCCCAGCTGGGCAGGAAGCAGCAGGGAGGGGGTGAGGGGGACCCTGACAAAGCAGTAGGGTGGGACATGCAGGGTTAATTGTCCCCAAGCAGGCATTAACTCCTGCTGCTGCCAGCCTGCAGCCACGCTGCTCCATGAGGCCACCTTGGGCTGGAGGATGCTCTGAGTGGGGCAGCACATGCCCTCGGGGCTCAGGACACCCTGGGGGGCCTGGACCTGTCCAGGGAGCTGCTCAGTGGGGCCAGGCTGTGATGTAGCCATGGCCCCACTCCTCCCCACAGCAGAGGGGTGCCAGGCCATCCCCTGCAGTGGGAGCACAGCAGCCCTTGGTTGCTGCCAGGAGAACCTGCTGCATGCCCAGTCATCACCCTGGCACTCAGTGGCCTGAGCTGACCCTCTGTGTGAGCCTGCCTCAGAAGACAGCACAGCCCGGGTCAGGGCCAGGTATGGGCTGGAGAGCTGGCTCCTTGCAGGGGTCCAAGGAGCCCTGTCCATGCTGCGTCCCACACTGCAGCGCTGGGGTGTTGGAACAGCACTGTGAGCTTCCTCTGCCCCTTGCCTGTCTTTCAGGTCTCTTCCAGAGAGCCATCATCCAGAGCGGCTCCGCACTCTCCAGCTGGGCAGTGAACTACCAGCCCGTGAAGTACACCAGCATGCTGGCTGACAAGGTGGGTTGCAACGTACTGGACACAGTGGACATGGTGGACTGCCTGCGGCAGAAGAGTGCCAAGGAGCTGGTGGAGCAAGACATCCAGCCAGCTCGCTACCACGTGGCCTTTGGGCCTGTCATTGATGGGGATGTGATCCCAGATGACCCAGAGATCCTGATGGAGCAGGGCGAGTTCCTCAACTATGATATCATGCTGGGGGTCAACCAAGGGGAGGGCCTGAAGTTCGTGGAGGGTGTGGTGGACCCTGAGGACGGTGTCTCAGGCAGTGACTTTGACTATTCAGTCTCCAACTTTGTAGACAACTTGTATGGCTACCCTGAGGGCAAGGACACCTTGCGGGAGACCATCAAGTTCATGTACACAGACTGGGCCGACAGGGACAACCCTGAGACACGTCGCAAGACTCTGGTGGCCCTCTTCACTGACCACCAGTGGGTAGAGCCATCGGTGGTGACGGCCGACCTGCACGCTCGCTATGGCTCCCCCACCTACTTCTACGCCTTCTACCACCACTGCCAGAGCCTGATGAAGCCTGCATGGTCTGACGCAGCCCACGGGGATGAGGTGCCTTACGTGTTCGGGATCCCCATGATTGGCCCCACAGATCTCTTTCCCTGCAACTTCTCCAAGAATGACATCATGCTCAGCGCTGTGGTGATGACCTACTGGACCAACTTTGCCAAGACAGGGTGAGTGGGGATGGGTGCTGCGCCTGGGGGAGCTGCACCCCTTGGAGCTGTTCGGGGGGGGGGGCCTGGGGGGTGTCCTGCCTGGTGTGGAACACTGAAGCCCCTGTGCCCAGAGGTTTGTGTGCTTCACCTCCAGTGAGGTCAGGGCACAGAGAAAAGCTGAGCACAGGCTAGCCCCTGGAACAGGACCCCACCAAGCGCAGGGGTGGGGAGATTGGTTGGCCATTTGTCCTCGTGCATAAGACTTGATGGGGATTGGAGTGCTGCCCAGCTACACAGGAGCTTTCACCAGCCCCCACTTTGCCACCACTGGCAAAGGTCCCCCCAGCTTCCATTTCTGTGTCTGGCTCTCCTTTCTCATCTCTGGTTTTCCCAGTGCTAGCTTTGTTTTGCCTGTGTTTTGCAGGGACCCCAACAAGCCCGTCCCCCAGGACACCAAGTTCATCCACACCAAGGCCAATCGGTTTGAGGAGGTGGCCTGGTCCAAGTACAACCCCCGTGACCAGCTGTACCTGCACATCGGGCTGAAGCCACGGGTACGTGACCACTACCGGGCCACCAAGGTGGCTTTCTGGAAGCACCTCGTCCCCCACCTCTACAACCTGCACGATATGTTCCACTACACCTCCACCACCACCAAAGTGCCGCCCCCTGACACCACGCAGAACTCCCACATCACCCGCCGCCCCAATGGCAAGATCTGGACCACCAAGCGCCCTGCCATCTCACCTGCCTACAACAGCGACAACGGGAAGGAGAAGTGGAGCCCAGAGCAAGAGGCAGGCACCCTGCTCGAGAGCCCCCGGGACTACTCCACGGAGCTGAGCGTCACCATCGCCGTGGGCGCCTCCCTTCTCTTCCTCAACGTGCTGGCCTTTGCCGCCCTCTACTACCGCAAGGACAAGCGCCGGCAGGACACACACCGGCAGCCCAGCCCCCAGCGTGGTGCTGCCAACGACATGGTCCATGCGCCGGACGAGGAGATGCCGTCCCTGCAGGTGAGCCAGGGCCACCACGAGTGCGAGGCTGTGCCGCCTCACGATGCCCTGCGCCTGGCTGCTCTGCCCGACTACACCCTCACCCTGCGCCGCTCTCCAGATGACATCCCGCTCATGACCCCCAACACCATCACTATGATCCCCAACTCGCTGGTGGGGCTGCAGACCCTGCACCCCTACAACACCTTCACCGCCGGCTTCAACAGCACGGGGCTCCCGCACTCACACTCCACCACGCGGGTATAGCCGCCCGCCACCCGCGCACACGCATGCACGCACGCACATGCACGCACAGACACTGGCAGAGGGACTGCTGGGGCCAGCGGAGCTCCCCGGGCAGAGAGGCAGTGCCGTGGATGGTGCGGCTCTGCAGCCGGAGACCTGCGGGGTCCCAGCGCGGCCGGGGCCGCTCCCCCGCAGCGCTTTCTTTCGTTCCTATCTAACTCTCGAGAAGTGCTTTGACTCTCCCTGCTCCCCCACGGGTCGCCTGGGGGTGCTGCTGGGATGCAGGGGGGGACACAGAGCAGCCCCTGCGCCCATGCCCTGGCACAGGCAGACAGGAGGGGACCCCGCTGGCTGCAGCCACGGGGCTCCGTGCGCCAGGGCTGTGCCTCCCCCAGGGCGATCGCATCTCCAGTGCTCTGCCTGCTGAGCACCTCTGGATGGATGAGGAGCGAGGAGTGGGGCTGGGCATCCCCTCAACTGGTGCACAGCATCCTTGGGCAGCTTGGCATCCCCAGTGCCCTGGAATCCGCTCCTTCCCTGTGTTGGGAAGCGGCCGTGGGCCATGGTGCTACAGGCAGAGGGAGCAGGCAGGGCCCAGAGACCTGGCCTCGTGCTGGGTGCGGGCGCTGGGGCCAGTGCCGGGGCTGGGGACCCTGGGCGCAGAGCCCCGGGCTGGAGACTTGGCGCATCCACCCCTCTTTGCGCTGCAGAGAATCTCTTTTGTGTCAGTTGTTTCTCTTTGCAGAGACGTTTTTTAAGCAGATCTTTAGTTCTTTACACAACTAACGGAGTCGCCGCGTTTTGTCCTTTGTAAAGATTTTAAAACCAAGTGTTCTTGATACGAAATAAAAAGCCAGTTGGAAGCCAGCTTGTGCACACGGTGCTGGCGCCCCACGGCCCCTGCGGGCACCAGGCAGGGTGCTGCCTCCTGCCCTCTTTTGTATTTTTGATATTCTCCCTCCTCTGTTGCCCATGCCCACGTGTTTCAGCCAAACAGCCAACCCCATGGGCCGGACTCCCTGCTGCCACCACAGCCCCTGCCAGCCACCACCCCGCAGGGGCACTGACTGCCGTGAGCACCATCTGCCTGCACTCCGAAAGCCAGGGCAGACCCTCAGCACCATGTCCCAGTGGTCCCCCGCGTACCCTGCTCCCTTGGGAGCATCCCAGATCTCTTCACCACTGCCCACAGGCAGCTGTGCCCTCCCTGCCCGCCAGTGGTTTGCAGCTTGGGGCAGGGTGTGCAGCACTGGGGGCACTGGCAGGGTTAGGGTGAAGCTGCTCACCTACAGCTACTCTGCTGCCCGCCTTGCTTCTGCTTGGGCCTTCCCCCCATCGTGGGGTGACCCCAGCTCTGGCATCAGGGGCATGCAGCTGGCATAGAGCAGGGCTGCCTGAGTGGGCAACCGGGGGTGAAGGGGCTGGGACACCCGCGGGGCTGGTGGTGGCCTCGGAACCGCAGGCAGCTGCAGGTGGCAGGGCTCAAGGTTTTGGTGCATCTGGGTGTGGGAGCCCACAGGGGCAGCCCAGTCGCAGCTTCCCCCATGGTGGGCACTGGCCCCCAGGGCAGGGCCTGGGGAGGCATGAGGAAGGATTGGGTCCTGTGGGGACACCATAACTTGTCCCTGTGCAGTCGGTCCGGCTGGCAGACGCTGCCAGAGCTGGCAGCCGTGACGCACCGGTGCCGGCTGGCCCTACAACCTGGGGCCAGCACATCCCGGCCCTGCGCCCTCGCACAGCCCCGGGCAGGGCTGAGGATCCTCATTGGAGAATGTATTTATACCCTGTCACCCGCGCAAAGTAACAGATTCCAAATAAAACAGAAGTGATATTTTTAATAGTAGTGTGTCTTAGCGTCTTCTTGGAGCGTGCAGGGGCTGGGGGGGCCATGCCTGTGCCTGCTGCCAGGGGGTCTGGGCAGTCCCCATGTCTGTGGCACCCCCACTGCGGGTACAGCCGGAGGGCCCTGGGATCACCCCAGCACAGCACGCATGCAAACCAGCACTGGGGGACCCACGTGCTGCAGGGTGGGGGGTCCCCGCATGCCACCAGCCCTGCTGCCCCACCACCACGTGGGATCTCATCTTCCCCTACCCCCCCATTTTTCCCAACCCAGCTCCCTTCCCCCTGCTTGCCAAACAGAAAAGCTGCTGGTTTCATTTCTTTTTAATGTAATTTCAGCTGGAGTTGCCATGGAAACCAGGCATGGGGCCTGAATTGCCAGCAGGCAGCATGCAGGCAGCAGAGCCAGGGCTGAGCCCCAAGCCAGAGGGGCAGGGGGCAGGCGGCAGGCAAGGGACAGTGGGGGACTGCATGGAGGGATCTGCCCTGCTGTCCCAGGAGCCCATTGCAGCTACAATGCCACTGGCACATGTCACCCCACCCAGCACCGTGATCCAGCCCCTGTGCCAGATCCCCCAGTGCTGCCCAATGCAGGGGTCCTGCAGCCCCTGCCAGCCTGGTCCCTGTGCTCTGGAACAGCAGCACGTGGCCAGCAGCATGGACATGCCCTGGGAGCACCAGCCAGGGATGGTGGTGGACCCCTCACCATGGGGCATATGGAGAGGGTGGGGAAGGTACCAGTGTCAGGCCGGGTGACATGCCATGCTGTGCTGTGCCACCAAGGGCAGGGACACTGGGGGGCAGTAGCCACAGAGCCGAGCTGTGATAGGGCTCTGATGCCCAGCGTTTGGGGCTGCCTTCCCCTGGTCTTTTCCATGCCAACAGACATAACTGCTCCCTGCAGGCTCAGCTCTGGGCAAAGGAGAGCTGCTCATCTGAATCCAGACCTGCAGCCCCTTCCAGTGCTGCCCCAACTGCTGGCTGCTCTGGTCCAAACCACCTGGCAGCCCCACGGCTGCCATCCCAGTGCCCTCCATTGCAGCCACCAAGTGCCCCTGCCTGATGACCAGCTGGGAGAGAAACCAAGGTGAAAACCTCACATCACGCCACAGGGTCAGGTTTCCATAGAAATGCTGATGCTCTGCAGCGCAGCTCCAACAACAGCCCCCTTGCCTTGTTGCAAGCAGCAGCGCCAGCCCAGCCTGGTGGCCAGCGGCCCATCCAGGTGATGTTGGCATTGCCAGCTGCCTACACTGTGGTGCCTAGCACCCTTCTGAAGGGCCCCACAACAGGGGTTTGCCCTGCCATTCTGGCCTCATCCTTGCAGAGCCCTCGCTTCCTGCTGTGCCTATGTCCCAGCATGGCCACCCCGGCTAGAACCCCAAAGGTAATCTGGTGACAGATGACACGTTGCTATTACACTACTGTCTTTGCAAAACTCCTGAGTTTGCCATCTGTCCAGGGTGTCCTTGACCATTAACAGCGTTCTTTGGAGACCTGACAAAGCCCAGGGGACATCGTGTCCCAGAGGGAACACGCCGTTAACATCTCCATGATGATTGTGGGACATCCTCAGCTTCACAGGACATCGCCCAGAGCTGCCTCATCCATGGTAGTGTTCAAGGCCAAGTTGGAAGGGGCTTGGAGCAACCTACTTTAGTGGAAGGTGCCCGTGCTCATGGCAGCGGTTTGAACCGGATGAGCTTTAAGGTCCCTTCCAACCGAAACCATTCTATAGTTCTATGATCTTCAAGGCTGCTGTCAAAGAGAAACGTGAGGAAACTGTACCACAAAGGCCTCCCTGGCATGGGGAGGGGATGAGTGAACTGTACCTGGCTCCTTCCTGCTCCAGGAGCCGCAGCCCGCAGGAGGGCAGGGATGTTGCTCTGCACAGCAGCATCACTGGGACAGTGGTCCCTGATGCACCCAGGACAGCAGACCTACTGTTGGCAGGACAAGCTGTTACAGCATGCGCTGCAACCCACTCTGCCCCATGCTGCAGTGGCACAACGGATTTCTGTGCTCACCTGCTGCCAATGCCCTTCCCAAGTAGAGGTAAAACTCAAACCAGGGGGTTTGTCTCTGAGGACAGCAGTGTTGATCCAGGGACTCCTGTCCTGCCACCAGCTCAAGCCTGGATGCCTGGTGGCCCTACACCATCCACACCCATACACACACGCACCAGCCACCATCCACAGCCATCCAGGCTGAGCCATGCTTGGGGCAGGACAGCAGGAGCAAGGGAGCTCTGAGAGCCAGCTCTGCAGCACCCGTTGCCTCTTTGCAGCGGGGATGCTTCAGCAGTGGTTGGAGCTGGGTTTCCTCGCAGGCTGCTGGGCTCTGAGGTCTCTCCCTAGCAAGGTGCCAGTAGCCGCATCACTCTGGTCCCACCATCCAGATGTTGGCTCAGCCCTGCCCATCTCATCAGCTTGTCTGCACGTGACGCACCCACATCCTCGAGCTCTTCACTTGCAACTTCAGAACTTCAGATACCCTATTAACTTCGTAACTAACGTCATTAACAAAGAGCCCGTTACTGGTCCCTATGGGCACAGGTGGGGCAGTTTTCCGCTCACTGGAGGCAGCTTCAGCTCCAGGCTTCGTACAGCCTGCCCTTGACCGGTGGTTTTTGCACAACCGCTTTGCTAACTGGTGCCAGTGCCGGAGACCGGGCCCGGAGGTCAGCGGCCGCCCCGGGCAGGGGAGGGTACTACCCGCTTCCGCCCATCTCCGGCGCTTCTGGTCCTCCCATAACCTCCCGCTGAGGACAGCGGGGGGGGGGGGGGGAGGGGGGGCAGCAGTGGGGGGCGGCAGCAGCAGTGGGGGGTCAGCAGCAGTGGGGGGCAGCAGCAGCAGGGGGGGGGGCAGCAGTGGGGGGCAGCAGTGGGGGGGCAGCAGCAGTGGGGGGCAGCAGCAGCAGTGGGGGGGGCAGCAGTGGGGGGCAGCAGCAGTGGGGGGGCAGCAGCAGGGGGGGCAGCAGCAGCAGCGGGGGGCAGCAGCAGTGGGGGGTCAGCAGCAGTGGGGGCAGCAGCAGCAGTGGGGGGCAGCAGTGGGGGGCAGCAGCAGTGGGGGGTCAGCAGCAGTGGGGGGCAGCAGCAGCAGCGGGGGGCAGCAGCAGTGGGGGGTCAGCAGCAGTGGGGAGCAGCAGCAGTGGGGGAGCAGTGGGGGGCAGCAGCAGTGGGGGGTCAGCAGCACTGGGGGGCAGCAGTGGGGGGCAGCAGTGGGGGGCAGCAGCAGCAGTGGGGGTCAGCAGCAGTGGGGGGCAGCAGCAGCAGTGGGGGGTCAGCAGCACTGGGGGGCAGCAGCAGCAGTGGGGGCAGCAGTGGGGGGCAGCAGCAGCAGTGGGGGAACAGGCAGCAGAGCGGACAGCAGCAGTGGGCAGCAGTGGGGGTCAGCAGCAGTGGGGGGCAGCAGCAGCAGTGGGGGGTCAGCAGAACTGGGGGGCAGCAGCAGCAGTGGGGGGCAGCAGCAGTGGGGGGTCAGCAGCAGTGGGGGGCAGCAGCAGTGGGGGGCAGCAGCAGTGGGGGGCAGCAGTGGGGGGCAGCAGCAGCAGTGGGGGGCAGCAGCAGTGGGGGGCAGCAGCAGTGGGGGGTCAGCAGCAGTGGGGGGCAGCAGCAGCAGTGGGGGGCAGCAGTGGGGGGCAGCAGCAGCAGTGGGGGTCAGCAGCAGTGGGGGGCAGCAGCAGCAGTGGGGGGTCAGCAGAACTGGGGGGCAGCAGCAGCAGTGGGGGGCAGCAGCAGTGGGGGGTCAGCAGCAGTGGGGGGCAGCAGCAGCAGTGGGGGGCAGCAGTGGGGGGCAGCAGCAGCAGTGGGGGGCAGCACTGGGGGGCAGCAGCAGTGGGGGGCAGCAGCAGCAGTGGGGGGCAGCAGTGGGGGGCAGCAGCAGCTCCCTCCTGCCGCTGACCCTGACTCGGGGTTTTCTCCCTTTTCCAGGATGCTTTCAGGCCCGCTCCCACGCGCTGAGCCCCCTCGGGCACGCGCGGCCCCGACGTCCGCTCGGCCCGGCCCCGCAGCGCCCCCTACCGCCACGGGGGGGCGCAAATGGCGACCACGGCCCCTCCAGCCTCGCTGTCCCCAGACCCCTCAGCCTGACCCCCAGCACCCTGAGGGCTCCCCTCCAGCCTGACTCCTGCACCAGCCCCGCCAAATCCCCCAGTGCCCACCAGTCTGACCGCCCACCAGGCGCCCCCAATGCCCCCTCCCCTCGCTGGCCCCTCTAGCCCCTTGCCCATACTGTCCCCTCTGCCTTCTCCCAGCCACTTCCCAGGCGCATCCCTTCCCTCGCACGCCGGTCCCGCAGCACGTCCCGAGCCCCGGGATCGCGGTCCAGGGCGGTGCCGGCGCCTGCAGCCGCTCCCCCCAGGCGCTGCTGACTCACCCGGGGATATATCGCGGGCCGAGATTGCGGCCCCGGCCGGCCCCACCCGCCCCGCATCCGCCCGGCCACCCCCGGCCCCCTTGTCCCCCACACCCGCCACGCTGCGGAGGGACCTCCCCTCGCCCCCACCGCCCCACGGTGCCACCCCGCGGTTCTCATGCGGGGGGTCTGTGCGGGGAGCTCCGTGCCGGGGGTTCCGTGCGGGATCCCCACTGCCCACCTCGGGGCAGGGTCGCCGCGTCCCGGCGCCTCGCAGGGTGCTGGGCGGCGGGACCTTGGAGCGGGCCGTTAGCCCGGTTAATCGTTGACCGGCTGTTTGCCTTCTCCCCGCGGCGCTTTCACACATGAAATCTGGGTGTTGGTGGCTCCCCGGTGAGCAGGCGGCAGCGGATCGAGGTGCTCCGGCTGCAGAGCGGGCCCCGCCGTGGGGCATGTGCGGAGTCCGCGGGGCACGTGGCAGGGAGGACACGTACAGCGGGGGTAGCGGCGGGGGGGCCCCGATCTTGAGAGGCCCCCGCGCAGGGGCTGTGCCGTGGGGTGCTTCGGCTGAGCCCGGCCGGACACAGCGGCGGTGTTTACTTGGCAGGGAGCAGGTCCTGGAAGGAGCGAGGCTGTTTGGGAGGGGGGTGACGCGCCGCGGGGCAGTATAAAGTCCAGGGTGCTGCGTGGAGGCTGAGGCCACTGCGCTCCCGAGAGCTTTGCCTGTCCTGGCGCTGAGGTGAGAGCCTGGGGGGCACAGCACCGCTGCGGCGCTGGCCACACGCCTCCTGGGGGGGGGGGGGGGGCAGTGGGGGATCCAGGGGGGGGCCTCAAAGGGCTTGGCCGTGCTCCGGGGAGGATAGAGCCAGGGGTGCTGGGGCTCTGGTGAGCATAGAGCAAGGAGCGAAGCTTGGCTGGGGCACCTACTGCTCCACCAGAGGGGCTTGGCTCGCCACTGTTCCTGCAGCTGCAGGCACTCTCAGCCTGGGATAAGGGGTGAAGGTACCACTGGGGTGGCATTGTTGCCCCACCAATCTGCAGGTCTCCAGCTGGTAGATTTTACTAGACGTGCTGCTCCTCAGTTGAAGCTGGGACAAAACCTGAGGGACGTGTCACAGAGGGGAGACTGAGCTGAGCTCTTAGGCAGAAGCTCTTCCCTGTGAGGGTGCTGAGGCGCTGGCACAGGGTGCCCAGAGAAGCTGTGGCTGCCCCATCCCTGGCAGTGCTCAAGGCCAGGTTGGACACAGGGGCTTGGAGCAAGCTGCTCCAGTGGAAGAGGTCCCTGCCTGTGGCAGGGGTTGGAGCTGGAGGAGCTTTAAGGTCTCTTCCAACCCAAACCAGTCTGTTTCATTCTAAGAGGGCCTGACCCAGCCTGGAAGATCAGAGAGCTCTGGAGGAGACTCCAGAAGCCATGCGGGGGGTCGCTGGAACAGCTGGACATGGCATCGCTCTATTGCAGCCTGAACATGCCTGGTCCAGGCAGTTCCAGCACCCTCACAGCTGTCACTGCTGACACCAGTCCCCTGGCAGCAGAGCCTCAAGAACAAGGGGGACCCACAGGGGCTGTACCCAGCTCACTCAGCCCCACAGGTCCCCACAGACTGCTAAGCACCATGCTGGGGAGCAGCCAGACCCCAGCTCCATTCATGACGCCCCGTGCCATCCCTGCAGGGTGGGCATGCAGAAGGGTGTCCATCTGGCCCGCAGGTGCCTGATGGGCAGAGCGATGAGCACCCCGTAGCCAGTGGTCAGGGGGGACCGTGGCCGGTGCAGGGCTGGGGGGGGAGCGAGTGCGGGGCTGTGTGGAGGGAATGCAGCACACAGGCGCTTTGTTTGGGCAGGGTGGGCGGAAGTCAGGGTGTTGGATCTGAATGCTAAAGTGTGTTGTTCTGGGGCTGATAAAGGCCTCATTGTATGTAAATAGTTTATAAAGCAGCATATGACTTCCAGTGCAGGGCAGTGGCGGACAGGGACGAGGGCAGGCGGAGCAGAGCTCTCCGGTGGGAGACATGAGACCTTAGAGGGGCCACTGGGGGCAGCTCGCGAGGACCCTTTCTCAGCGGCAGGTATGGGCTGCCGGGACCCTCCACACCAGGGGTGGCCGGGGACAGGTCCCAGCCTCGTGCTGAGGGTGGGAGCAGCTCCTGAGGCTGCTCGGTGCTGGTGGGTGGTCCCAACAGGGTGGTGGGGTGTGTGCTTGGGATGTGGGGTCACCCCATGCCCCCCCCGGCAGGACAGCACTAGGAGGGTGGTAATGTATGGCTTTGCAACTGCCAGCTTGAGGCTCCTTGGCCCCACTGCTTCAGGGAATGGGGAGATGAGAGCAGGGAGGTGCTGGTGCAGAGGAGCCTGTGCAGGTCTTTGGGTCCATCGCTAGCAGAAAGCTCAGTGCTGCGTGTGGACTGGGCATCCCCGCAAAGGTGTGGGAGCTTCACCTCCATCCTCTGTGGCAGCCGTGGGTTAAGATCCCTATGGCAGTGTGGGGAGGCAGGGCGGGAGCAGCTGGCACCAACCCGTGTCCTGCCTGCCCTGAGCCGCATCAGCAGTGGGAGCCACGCTGTGGTCTGTCCATCTTGCTGCCCACCTCCCAGGGCTGCAGCAGTGCCCTGCTCCCTGCTGGAGCTGTGCCACTAGGGCTGGGACAGCCAGGGGCCCTTCCCACTCCTAACACTTGCTGTTTACTCCTGCAGACGTGAGGAACGATGAACTGGGCTGGCCTGTACACAGTGCTGAGCGGGGTGAACCGCCACTCCACTGCCATCGGGCGCATCTGGCTCTCTGTCATCTTCATCTTCCGGATAATGGTGCTCGTGGTGGCAGCAGAGAGCGTGTGGGGGGATGAGAAGTCCGCCTTCACCTGCAACACCCAGCAGCCTGGCTGCAACAGTGTCTGCTATGACCACTTCTTCCCTATCTCCCATATCCGTCTGTGGGCCCTGCAGCTCATCCTTGTCACCACGCCAGCCCTTCTTGTGGCCATGCACGTGGCCTACCAGCAGCATCAGGAAAAGAAGCTGCTGGTGCTGACCGGGCATGCAGATCCCAAGCACATGGAGGAGGTGAAGAAGCACAAGATGCGCATATCGGGTTCTCTGTGGTGGACATATGTCTGCAGCGTGGTCTTCAGGCTGCTCTTCGAGGCTGTGTTTATGTACATCTTCTACATGCTCTACCCGGGCTATCAGATGATGCGGCTGGTCAAGTGCGAGGCTTACCCCTGCCCCAACACCGTGGACTGCTTCATCTCCCGGCCCACAGAGAAGACCATCTTCACCGTCTTCATGCTGGTCACCTCCAGTATCTGCATTGTCCTCAACATGGCGGAGCTGGTCTACCTGGTGGTGAGGGCCTGTGCCCGCCGAGGCCAGCACGACTCCAACCCGTCAGGGAAGGGCTCCTTCTATGGGCACAAGCTCTCCTCCGAGTACAAGCAGAACGAGATCAACCAGCTGCTGACGGAGCAGGATGGCTCCCTCAAGGACATGCTGCGGCGCAACCCCGGCCTACAGGAGAAGGGCGATCGCTGCTCTGCCTGCTAGGGCTAGCACCGTGCTAGCCCCAGCCCTCGCCCCTGCCCCAAAGCTGCCCCATGGCCCTGTGCTGTCCCTGCCCCTGAGGAACAGCATCCCTCAGGTGCCAGTCTGGCCCTTCTGGATGTCCAGGAGGGCATCTGGGGCCATTAAATCTCATTTCTCAGGCACTGCCTCCCTCCTTTCTGCTCTGCATGGGACATGCCAGGGGCTTGGGTGCCAGTGTAGGGTGCCTGCCCCTGCACCCTAGCCTAGATGGGTGCCCCAGGGGCTGTGGGTGCTGCAGTGCCCAGGTCGGGTCACGGCCATGATGCCCTGGCAGCTGTCATGAAGGAGCAAGTGACCCCTGGGTGGCACCGAGCAGTGTCCAAGGGCTCACGCTCCCCCAGCACCAGCCCCTGCAGCCCCGAATATATTTAGAAAAGTGCCCAGACCAAAAATAGAGGTAAAATATTTCTGCAGTGGCTGTTTCCTCTGCCAGTCACTGTGAGAGCCACCAATGCGGCACACAGCTGCCTCATGGCCGTAACCCCGCACCTATCAAGAGACAGGCAGAGCTAGGCCGACCCATCCGCATCTCACCGAGGAGCCAGGGACCAGCCGGGAAGGGGCCTTGCAGCACCCACAGCACCTTGCCGAGGGGAGCCGACAGCGCAGGAGCAGAGGGCTCTGCTCCACGTGCTGGCCAACGGTGAGGGGTCCCCTTGCCGCATTGCCCCCACGGTGCTCCCAGCTCGGCTGGGCTGCTTTCTGCCGGAGGTCTTTGCTCCTGCTGCCCTCTCCACGACAGGTTAGCAGGTCCCATGGGATGTAGGCTGAGGACAGCCCAGGGGCGGCCTTGGGTCAGGTCCCTGCACATCTGCCTGGCCAGCGAACGGGGTGGTGGCTCGGTGGGTTGCGGGGTGGTCACGGCTGGAGGGCGGCTGTCTTGCAGGGCACAGCGGCACGTGCCATGGGGGACTGGAGCCTGCTGGGGCGGCTGCTGGAGAATGCCCAGGAGCACTCCACGGTGGTGGGGAAGGTCTGGCTCACTGTCCTCTTCGTCTTCCGCATCCTGGTGCTTGGGGCAGCCGCTGAGCGTGTCTGGGGTGATGAGCTCTCTGGCTTCTCCTGCGACACACAGCAGCCCGGATGCCAGAACGCCTGTTATGACAGCACCTTCCCCATCTCCCACCTCCACTTCTGGGTCCTGCAGATCATCTTCGTCTCCACCCCCAGCCTCGTGTACCTGGGCCACATACTGCACCTGGTGCACCTTGAGCAGAAGGCGCAGCAGCAAGCGGTGGCACGGGCCATCAGCAGGGCCCGGCGGCAGCGCTCAAGGCAACTCCGGCTCCCTGCCAGGGACACGTGGGGACGGGTCTGCATGCGGGGAGCCATCCTGAGGACATACGTCTGCAATGTTGTCTTCAAGGCTCTCTTGGAGGTCGGCTTCATTGTGGGCCAGTACGCCTTGTACGGGTTCCAGCTGAAGCCCCTCTACACCTGCAGCCGCTGGCCCTGCCCCAACACCGTCAACTGCTACGTCTCCCGGCCCACCGAGAAGACCATCTTCATCCTCTTCATGCTGGCAGTGGCCTGCGTGTCCTTGCTGCTCAACATGGTGGAGATCTACCATCTGGGTTTCACCAAGTGCTGCAAGGGGCCAGGCCCCAAGTCCTGCATCCTGCCCAGTCCTGGTGGTCCTGCAGGACCCTGCAGCTCCCATGTCACCCTGCCCGGCAGCAGCAGCCCCACAGCACCCAGCAGAACCCCCCCCAGCCTAGCACCCCTGAAGAAGGCGGGTGCATGGCTAGGGGTGGCCAGTGGGTCCCCCAGGAAGGTGCGAGGGGCAGACTTGGCAGTGTGAACAGGGCCTGGTAGGATGCTCTGGGATGGGCAGTGCATGGGTGGTGGCTCTGTCTCTGGGCCTTGCCAGGCTTGTGGCATGAACCCCACAGCCAGCATGAGAGGGGCTGCGTGAACATGGCTCAGCCACAGCCTGTGCTCCTGGGAGCAGGGCTGGGCTGGGGCCTGTCAACCCAGGGGGAGCAAATAAAACACCTACTGCATGTCACTCGCCTCTTGCTCTGCCCACCGCCACCACAGCATCGCTCTCCAGCTGGTCCATCCCAGGGACAGGCTGCATGACCATGGCAGGGCCACTGCAGCCCTATGGGCAAGGGCTGGTACACACAGGTACAGGGTCAGGAGCCATCCCAGCACACCCTAGCAGCCAGCATGCCAGTGGCCAGAAAAGGTAGGAAGTGCAGGCAGGGCTGGCCAGAAGCAAGGTGCACAGCAGCCGTGGGCCACTAGCCCCGCTCTCCTGAAGTGCCCACCCTGTCTGGCGAGGGAAGCAGGGGCTGCCGAAAGCTTTCTGCATCTTTATTTGAAATGAATGGTTTCCAGAGACACAGGGTTAGTCCTACTGCCCTGGCATCACTACAACAAGACTGGTGAGTGGCTCACTCTCCACATGGAAACAGAGAACAGACGGCCCCAGGCCAGGGACCAGAACAATATATACAGGCTCAATAGGAGACTCATGTACAGCTGAAGAAAACCGACCAAAACACAAAGAGGGGCAGGAGGCAGCAGCACAGCCAGGGCCAGGCTCGGGCACCCTGCTGCTGTGGGAGGGAGGGCGCAGGCCAGGCAGCGCTCCTTGCTTCTGCCAGCAGTTGCCTGAGCCCCCAGAGGCAGCAGAGGGACCCACAGATGGCACCTTGCACCCGGGAAGGGAGGTTAGGCCAGGACAGGGGACAGTGGGAAAAGGGGAGCAGTGATGGCACAGACCCGTCTCCATCAGTTTTCCACCAACTCAGAAAACATTAACAAAACTGAGGCAGGTGGCCCAGTGGTGTACACAGGAGGTGTCCCCTCAGTGAGGCTAGGGCTCTGTCCTCATGTTCCAGCACAGGAACCTCTCCCACCCCTGGGCACAAGCCCTTTCTCTGATACAGCAGCTCTCAGGATGCCAGGGGTCCTTCCCAACTGGCTCAAAAACACCATCCTGCTGCAGCAGCAGAGCTACCCTTCCTGCGGCAGCACCTGAAGCCTCCGCAGCGGAGGTGAAAGGAAGCGGGGAACTAAAAACCTCAGGGCCACTGGTCCCAGACAACGCTCTTCAATATTGTGCAGTTCACGGGGAGTAGTGTCAGGGCTCTGGGTAGGGGAGGACAAGGCTTGGCAAGGGAACCTGCCCCACAGGCTCTGCCCCCCTGTGCTGTGGGGGCTGGCCCTGGGGAAGACGCTCACCCAGCAGCCAGGAGAGGGGGCAGGACTGAGCGTGGGGGCCACGTACAGATGAGAGGCCTGTGATGAGCAGGATGGGATGTCCAAGTCCAGTAATGACGAAGGGACAGCACTGCTGCAGCACCATTCCCTCCCACGCTGCACAGTCCCCAGCCTGTAGCAGGGGGCAGAGACACGAGGCATCCAGGGCTGGGGCATAGCCAGCCTGGCAGCACCTCACTCTTAGTCCATGTCATCCTCCAGACCGCTGAGACGACTGTGCTCCTCATAGATCTCCCTCACGACCAAGATGCGGTTCAGCATGCTCTCCAGCATGCTCCGGTCCATGGGGATGACCGAGTACCAGAGTGGGGACTCTGCGATGCAGGACCGTTCGGGCTGCAGGTAGAAGACATCGTTGCGGGTCCGCAGACTCTCGGGACTGTAGAGAGAGAGTGAGGTCAGCCCTGGGAAAGCCTGGCCTGCCCTCAAGGCTATCAAGGTGGGGGGCTCAAGGCTTGTCACAGCCTCTCATCCTTTGGCAAGATGAGGACACAAACTGAGGCTACAGCTCCTCGCTCAGGACCAAAGCCCCTAAGCAGCCAAGCTCACACTACAGTACTCATACTGCGCACTCCTGCCTGGCTGGAGAGAGGAAAGTAGTGGAAGGGGGCAGAGAGAAGCATTCTCTCAACCATGGTCTATACAAGCAGTGCAGACACTGGACGAGGCTTCACACTCAAGTACAAATGTTTTGGGAGCGGCAGCCACTCCACAGGGTCCCACCAAAACTGAGGTAGCCTTAAAATGGCACATGCCATTTTTTTCCAGAGAAAGCCTCACCATTTGGAGAGGTAAAACTCATAGAACTTGACTGGGCATCGAAGCGGATTCATCCTGTTCTCCCGCTGCTCCAGCATCGGTACCTCCTCTTCACGTTTCCGCTTTCCAGAGCTACCATCTGCAGAGGGGGAGAGAGAGCACGACTGTGGCTGGGACCTGACAGGGGAGGCAGGGATTGGGGCAGAGATGCTCTGTCAGACCCTACCTCGGCCTTTCTTCTGCTTGGCAGGAGCATAGTAGCGGATGCTCACCACCTTTGACATGCCACGTGCCGTGGTGCACTTGCGGGACTGGCGCACCACGTTGGTGAAGGACAGCTGCATGTGCTCCTCCGCTGTCTGCAGCCCGAAGAACTTGGTGTTGAAGAACATGAGGGTGTTGAGGAGCACAAAGGGTGAGTAAACACCCAGCTGCTTGCACTCCCAGAGGTGCTCCTCCTCAACACGTGAGAAAACTGTGTCTGTAACACACAGAAGAAGAAGCAGGTCACATCAACAGTGCCTTTGTGGCAATCCCTTCATCCTGCCAAGGCAAGCTAACTGCAAAAGACTGATGCTTCACAACACCCCCTTTTCCAAGAAGTTACTTCTCCAGAGCCATCAGCAGAGCTAGATGCTGGCTCCAGCCAGCCACAAGCTACCTCAGAGCACAGCCAAACTACAGGCCAGAACCCAAATCAATCTAACCACTCATTCCTCTAGATGGCCATAAATGTCTTCCAGGCCAGTGCTCCATCACACTCAGCGCAAGATGAATAAAAAGCAGCAGGCAGGACAGACATTGCCAGCTCCTGCTTAGATACACAGGTCTGTAGCCAAACGCCTCTGTCCAGGACAACCAATATGCAGAGTCTAGACCTGTGAACTAATCACTGCCAAAACGGAACAGGGAAGGCAGCACAGATTACAGCATCATGAAAAGCCTCTGCCAAAGCTCTAAGTTAGTTTGCTCACAAGGCAGCAGCACAGCAACCCTGGTCAACATGTAGTACAGCGTGCAGGGCTCACTCATGTGTTGGGAACACAAATACATGTGCCCACATGCCTCCAGGCTTGGTATCCTCTTTGCCAAATGGTAGAGACATCGCTATAAAGTATTGTAAAGATTCAAACTGTCCCAGGATGCAAAGCAGCCATGCTCTGCTCCCAGCTACCCTGACTCTGGGCACAAGAAGCTACTGAAGGATAAACAAGGCCAGCTCTAATGTCACTATGGGTCAGTATGACCCCAGGACACAGTGAGACTGTGCTGTCTATACCAAGGAAGAGGGTTGAGGCTGAGGGAGCACAATTAGACTGGAGAGACCCAAGGCTAGAAGCAAAAACTGGGTACATGTGGTGACTGAAGGTACTCTGGAGACACATACTATTTGGTAAGATCGTGGGTTGCCAGCCACTCAGGGACTTGTTCAGCTCCTGCACGAAGGTCAGGTAGTAAAGGTCTGTAAATATATTCACCATACGATTGTTCTCGAGCAGGTACTAGAAAGGACAGAACACACAGTCAAGAGAGACACGGTAGCACCTGGAATGCCACCCCATGCCAGAGAGCCCAGAGCCCGCACAAAGAGCACCCGTCTTTGTAAAACCAGAGCTGCAGGGCAGAGTCCTAAAACCAGCTGCTTCTGAGAGCTGTGAGGAAAACCCTGGGCTATGACACGGCAGCCTTGGTGCTGAAGAAGTGACTAAGTTTGGGGAGATCTCCCAGCCCTCCTCAGGGATGTGCGACGCTGGGGAATAGCTGCCATCCTGCTGCTGGGCTTGGGAACAAAGAGTGAATGAGGCGGGCTGCTGCCCTGGGACAAGGCACTGAAGGAGAGTTCAGTGAGCCTCTCTTGGTCCCCAGAAGGCAGAATAATGGGTACAAGGCACCCCATACTAGATCTGACCCCCAGGTCTGGCTGTGGAGGACTTGAGGCAGCAAGCCCTCCCTCACCTGCTGAATGCCAAGGCAGAGGTAATAGATGCTGTCTGGTTCGTAGCGCTCCCCATTGGGCCGTGTTATCTCCTTAACAAACTGGGCCAGGCCGTAGTTGAGCTCAGCTGCTGTGCAGGCCAAGATATCTTCCTTGATCCTCATGGGTTTGGCTGAGGAGACAAGCACGGCAGCCTCAGGCAACAGCCTGCAACGGCAGGAGCACCTCAGCACCCCAGGACCCAGCTCCTGGGAGGTTTCTGCCACTCATTCCCACCCAGCCAGGGCACTTACGGCCAAAGCGTAGCTGCTCTCCCTTGCTCGTCTCTCCTCCCGCATACTTGGCTTGCACCCAGGACTTCCAGGCGTTCACACCGTACGAGTAGTTCAACACTGTGCAGCTGGGCTGGCTGCTCATTGAGTCCCGGGAACAGCTTTCAGAGAGCACCAGGCGCTTCTGGCCCTGCACAGAGGTGTACTGTAAGACTGGGCACCTACCCAGGACAGATGCAGGAGTGCTGGCCACCCCTCAGACCTGCTGCCAGCTCCCTCCCCACTGTACCTGTGCACATGCCAGCAAGCATCCTTGCCAACAAGGCCCATTAGTTATGAGGACCACAGGCAGGAAAGAGGCCAGTTCTCACATGACCTGTGGCATTCAAAGCTCCTCTGAAGTGACAGGCAAGCATTTTCATTCCAGACATGCCCCGAAAGGAGAGGGCACAACCTCCCCAGCACACCAAAGCCTCTGGCACACTTCACCTCGTACACAGAATAATAGAATAGTTAGAGTTGGAAAGGACCTTAAGATCATCCAGTTCCAACCCCCTGCCACGGGCAGGGATGCCTCACACTAGACCATGTCACCCAAGAATCTGTCCAACCTGGCCTTGAACACTGCCAGGGATGGAGCATCCCACAGAGCAGCTCCTACTCCAAGCTGAAAGAGCATTAAACAGGCCATATCCACTGAAAACTCACCTTTCGGACAGCACGAGGCAGATCTTGCTCTGTAGACACATCATCTGGTCCCACCAGTCCACAGTCAAATAGGAAGTCCACACTGGGGTTGATGTCTAGAGG